TCCCTCACAATCACACATAGAAATTAGCCGTATCCAATTTTCCTCATTCGTTACACCCCCCTCTGCAAGTGGATCAGGTCCAACTTGATGGGTGGTTTTAATGTCAACTTGCCACAAATTAGAATCACCCAGTGGGGTAGGTTCATCTGAAGAACTGTCCAGACTGCCTTAATTCATAAGGGAGGACCCACCCAGACGTGGGCGGCGTGGGTAGCAGCGGGGCGTGGCGGGGTGGCTGCCTTTTCCTCATTGTCTCCACTGAGTGATTTAGCCACCGCTGACTCCTTTGCTCACAGGGGAGCCAGTCAGTGTTTCCAGGTGGCAGGTCTTTAGGGACTTCCAGGTTTGGAGCGCCAGATGGCAGACTGCTGAGGTGCCAGCCCTGTGGACTGAGCAGATCCTGGGTTCTCAGCCCCTCCAGAGTGAGCTGGCCACTGTGGGGGTCCTCTGGCTGCTAAGGCACCACCTAGCCTCAAGGACCAGGAACTACCAGGCTCTCAGTGTGTTCAGCTGTTCTTACCACTTGGAAGCCGATTAGTAAATCCTTTTAGTATACACTCATCCTGTTAGTTCTGCTCCCTGAACACAACGCTGACAATTGCTGTGGGCAGAGAGCAGCTGAGGCTCTGAAGAGGCCTGCTCGCCAGTAACACTGACCACTCAACCCAGGCTGACCGTGCAATGGCCACCCTGCCACCACGTCATGCTTTTTCAAAAGATATCAGGAATCTGGGTTCTGGAAAATTAAAAATACATCTCATTTAAAAAAATATTCTAATTTTCCACAAAAACTTCAGGAAACCAGGTGATGGTAAGACAGCTGACTTCACCATGGTGACTCATGAAGCATGGGATGGTCACTGTGGCTTTGCTGCCTCAGGCTTCTGTGGATACAGCTCAGAAGCCTGTTTGGAGAGTCATCATCTCCAGCATCGCTTGGAGCCAATGGGAGAGGGAACCGGTGGCCCAGCAGCCCTGCCCACCACTGCGACAATTCTCAAGTACATCTGAGTTCTTCCCTGGGATTTCCACTGGAGAAGAGCTTGCTAACCACTGCTCAGCAAGCAGCCTGTTTGCTCACCGACCCTCCACTGGTTCCACTTCCTCCACTGATCCCACTTCCTGGAATCCCGTTTCAAACCAGCATCCTGCATCTGAACCTCGGAGTCAGGCTGTTGGGGGTTGGAGGAGGCCCTTCTCCCTGCTTCAGCTGTTTCTTCTGGCCGGAAGACTCTCCATCCATCCTCCACCTGTTCTCCTCAACTCTGCCTAAAACTCAGTTCCTTTGGAAGCCTTCTCTGATCCCTTCTTTCTTCCTATGCTGTGAAGTCCCCCGTGCTGGTCCCCCAGCTCTAATGCTTGCTGTGTTTGTAAACTGTAAGCCCCAAAGACAAGAACCCCAGACTTCTTAATTTCCACTGCATTCTCAAGACCCGCGCACTGCGACTGATGAAACTGGGGCTTTCGACATATTTGTAGAACGAAATGTTGCAGTGTGAGGAACCCTCAACCCACTTCCCGCTCTCTGAAGGCCACACTGTGCACTCAAGTCCCATGCTGTACAGTCACTCGATCCTGATACTTCTCCTCCCTATGCTGTAGATGAGGACTTTGAATTAGAAACAGTGACTGACAGACCAGACTTGAACTCACAACAGTTACTGCTGCCCCAACTGCCTTACATCCTGAGGTCCTCCTGCCCAGCATTATAGGAGGTCAGTCTACTAGAGGCCAGTGCATCCCAACAGTGTCCAGGCCACAGGCAAGAAGACATCAGGGGGCAGCAAGGGTAGGTCAAGTAGCCAACTAAAGATTTTAAAAATTATTTTATGTGTGTGTGCGCACCTGAGTACAAGGTGCCCGTGGAGGCCTGAAGAGGCGTTGGATCCCCTCAAACTGGAGTTACAGGCGGTTATGAGGCACCCAACGTGGACTCTGGGAACTGAACTTGGATCTCCTGCAAGAAGAGCAAGTGCTCTCTGAACTACTGAGTCATCCCTCCAGCCCCTCCTATAACTTTTAAGTGGTCATATAAATATTCCACACAAATGTCCAAATTTCTAACCCGTCTTCTATGAGACAGATGGCTCAGTGGGTAAGGCACTAACCACTAGCCCTAACAGCCTGAGTGCAACCTTTGGGCCCCACATGATGGAATGGACAGAGCCAGTTCCCACAAGTTGTCTGACACACAAAATGTAAAATAAAAATTTTGTCTAAAATCACTTTCAGGTTATGTATGCAAAGTAGATTTGAACCATAAATGGATTTCTGGTCTTAGACTTGGATCCCATCAAGACATCTCATTATGTATATGCAAATTTCCCCTAATATAAACAAATTAGAAATGGAAATGCTGTGGGTCTCAAGCATATCAACTAAGACGCAACCTGTGCTAGAGTTCCAGAAGAGATCTTCTTAGAAAAAGATCTGAATATATTTACTTCAACAGCATTCAATGGGATGTAAAATTGTGATATAGTGGATCACTCTTAAAGAAAGGATCGAACCCCAATCAATAGCCACACCAAGCCATAATTAACCACATGCTAATTTCTATTTCTAGAGAGAATGTTTGCAACTGTGACCCTGGATTGGACATTAGTAACTGAATACAACCACATTCCAGAAGCTTTCAAAAAGGTCAATCTTAGAAGACAAGGACCCAAGGAGCCGGGGAGGTGGCTCAGTGGGAAGAGTACACACTGCTCTTGCTGGAGTTTGGTTCCCAGCACTCGCACTGGGTACTTTACAACTGCTTCTAACTGTAGCTGTAAAGTATCTAACACCCTCCTCTGGCCTGCCTAAGGGCACCCACACTCTGGGCATACATAGACCCGAAGACACACACATGTACGTAATTAATAAAGTAAAAATAATTTTAAAACAAAGGCTCAGAATTACTTTGATATACACAAAACCATTTTTTTTAAAAAACCAACAGTTTTAATTTCTGTGGCAGTTTGTAGACACACAGCCTTTACAAGATATGGAAAGGGCAAGACCTTGTGGTGCATGTCTTGAATCCCAGAGGCAGGGGCAAGCGGGCTCCTTGAGTTTGAGGCCAGTCTGCTCTACATAGCAAGTTCCATGCCAACCAGGGATACACAGTAGGACTCTATCTCAAAACAACAAAAACCAAGCCAACAGCAATAATGAAACAAAAACTAAAGATATTAAAAGGAAAAAACTTACATATACAGCTTAGATTGTACTTTCTTGTTAATGCATTTTAAGTCTTGATTTCTTCAAACTTTACTGTGAGAATGTTTTCCAAGTTACAGTGAAATCCTAGCTTCAGTTGTACAGGGGGTGGGGGTGTTATCTGGCTATTTTCAATCAACACATGAACCAAATTTAAAACCTACTGTTCAAGCTAGGGTGAGCCAACACTCACTCAAGGTGTATCTTTGTATTCAAAAAAGGACAGGACCCGAAATATCTGTACCAATGAGGCGGTCTCCTAAGTTCCTCAAGAGTATATTCCCAGGAGAACCCTGATCAGCACTGTGCCCTCTCCACCCCAGCCTGCGAGGGGCTTATCAAAATGTAATCGACAAACCAAACCACACTTAATCTCAAGAATTCAAATATTGCCCCAAATATTTTCTGGTCAGTATACATCATCCCAAATACTGATTTTTTTTCCTGAATGGACGTGGGGCTAGTCCATGTCCCATCATTTATTTGAAGGACTATACTTTTTTTAGGGGGGTGGTATTTTTGAGACAAGGACTCCCTGTAGCCCCATACTGGCCTGGAACTCACCATATAGACCAAGGTAGCCTCAAACTCAGAGAGATCCACCTGCCTCTGCCTCCTGAGTACTGGGTTTAAAGGTGTACTGATGTTCTCACCTTTAAAATGTGGGGACTGTTATCCTACAGCCAGGGAACTTGGGCCAAGCTCCTTAAGCTGGCACTCAGACCCAGAAATGATCCTAAGGTGATTCTTCCTACAAAGAGAAAAATAGGCATGTTGGAGTTAAGGTTTTAATAAGCTAATATACCGACCATGATACCCAAAGCCTAAACATGTGCAGTCATGTGTCACACAGACAGGGGCACTTCCCAATAGATTTGTTGTTGGGCAATTTTGTTGTGTGAACATGACGGGGTGCACATACACAGGTAGGCCTAGTGTGTCCTCAATATGATGCACTTGGAAATCACAAGCTTTATTTGAGGTTACTGCTGCAACTGCATACTGTCTTAAGTATAAATTTTTATTACATTTACTTATTTTGCGTTATGACTGTATGTGTCCAGGTGTATGGAGATCAGAGGAGTAGTGATAGGAGTCGATTCTCTCCTTCGACCATGTGGGTCCTGGGGTAGAAACTCAGGTTGTATGGCTTGGTGGCAAGCACCTTTACCCACTGAAGTAATTTTTTAAAGTAGGAATACATTTAAGAAAAATGTAAAGTAAATGCATGAGCCAGTCATTTATTATCACTACTCCATACTACACATATGATGCATGCTGTAGTTATACGCACTTGGCAGTTCAGGTTTATTATCTACACCAGCACCGCCACCACCACAAACACTGCATAACACAAGCATAACACAAAGTGAAAAGATGTTTCCCAGGTCGTTATCATCTTATGGTACCACCGTCTTGCATGGAGTCCAGCAGCGACTGAAGTGTTACAAGGCACATGCCTGATGCACATGGGTTCACATGGAGCATTTTGTGAGTGTATGCAGCTTCCCACTCCCATTTCATAATCCCCTAGGTTTACTGTTTGAAATACAGCACGGAACTGGAATGGTGCACAACTCAAGACTTCAAAAACCCAACACATGCAGAGAGCTAGCATTCTACTTGGAAACAATACCAAGCCAGCCCCTTTCATGCTGCCGTAAGTTTGGTTTTTCTGGCTGCATTTATAGTTTGGAATCTAATTTGAGTGTCTGTTGGAAGCAGACAGGGAAGCACCGTCCATCTTCTAACCCAAAGACCGGAAAGAAGGAGAAACAAGTTTATGGCTCAAGAGGTACATTTTAAAAAATTATCTTTATTTAGGTTTCTGATTCAGCACATGTATCAAAGACTAATCAACACAAAGTAAATAAGACATTAATCGGAAGTCTTACATCTCTCTAAACTCTGAATGAGAATGTCAAGATCGCCACTGTTACCAGAACTCCAACCTAGTCAAGCTGTAGACGAGCTATCAGGACAACACACGGCGCGCAGAGGCAGAGGGCATGCGAGCATTTGGCTCTCCTCTCTTCCTTGCGGACCTCTTTCTGTCTGACAGTCCCGTTTTTCTTTCCAGGCTAAGTTCCAGATGAAGTCCATGAAGATGACTCAGAGTCCACCTGACCAGGCATCCTGCGGAGGAATGTACGCTTAACCCATCGTGCCTGCAACTTTGTTTTGACCAGGATGAAGCTCAGCTCGAGCCGTGTGATACCATCTGGATGATGGCACAGACTAAGTGAAACACTGAACAGAGCAGTAATCCAAGTTAAGGCATGAACGCACACACGCACACGTGCACACACACAGCACCCACGCTAGCACGGACGGAGGATTCCTTCAATTGCCCGATGAGAGGAAACCTGGGCGTGGCCAGAAATCACAACTGCTGAGCATTCTGGAAAATGCTCCCCCAAATGTTAGGCTAACATGTTTTCTTAAATAAAAAATTTAAAAAAGCTAAAACTTAAAACAAAAAAACCCTAAGAATCCTTTACTCTTTCTTACAATGGCTCTTGAACATGAACTCACGTACCAGCATCCATGGCGGGCTCTTTAATAATTTGTAAATAGAAGTTTTACTGTGCATGTCTTTGGTAGTGGTCACAAGCTGTGTTACCTTGTAAGACTAGTACTCGACAGAAGATCAAATTACACAGAAAAAGTTTCTTCTGTACTGCTAAAAATATTAAGCTCTCTGAAACACAAGTTCCATGCTTTTCTTGCCTTACTGGTCATCCTCTGAGAGCTTCACGCAAGGCAAGTTCACGTCTACCTAACAAAAGGGGGTACATACTGTTTTCCTACAACTGAACGATCAACAAAAATTCACATTATTATTTCCGGTCGAATCAGAAGCCAGTAACAAAGGCACAGCAGCACGTGGTGTGAAAGCCACATTCTGGTCACACATTCATTCCATGGTCTCTAGCATCTCAGGAGCTCAGAATTCAAAGCTCCTTCTAATCAACACAGAAGTTAAATCTTCAATACTTCCGCATCTGCCCAATGTCTAGAATTCTGTTTAGAATGCCAGCGTGCTTGGTGAGAGAAAGCAGTTGAGAGCCTAGAGGTGGTGGGTGCTAGGCAGGTGGACCTGGTTCTATACAAAGGTAAGGTCGTCTGGGAACAGAGTACTTAGCCACTAGCAGCACAGTGGTACACAGGGTCTCTGTCAACAAGACAGGAAATGAAGCAATTGAAGATACTGTTCCTCCCACCTGCCTGACCATGGCCACTGATTTTAATCCAGGCTTAGCCTGGGAGAGTATCAGAATGGCAAGAACCAGGCTCAGACGGTGTGAGAATTCCCCCAGCCAGGCTTCCTGCAGGTAAGAAGGCTCCTCTAGGGGCTCAGCATCTGATTCTCTTACCTAGTTGTTGAGCAACTGCCAAGAAACTGTCCTGGCAGATACCACCCGAGAACTGCAGGCTCCACAAAGAGTCTGAAAACACTTTAAAAATGACACAAAACATCCTAAATTCAATTAGTGTTTGTTCTCTCTGTGCTGTACATCTGCAGGGAGAGGCAACTGGATTATGTTGGAAAGGTGCTGGTGGAAGAGCTGGGTTTTACTCTGAGGTGACATGATACATCTAGGGGAACCCGCTGGGTACTATCTGCACAAGCCCTGAACGTCAAGAACCTGCCTCTAAAGGCATGCATCAGGACCATCTGCTCACCACAAAGCAGCCTGTTGACTTGTGCTTTCGGGAGGTAACTAACGAGACAGAAATGGAGGAAGATCTTTACAGTGTGGATGTGCTTGTTGGAACGAGCCACTGACCAACAGCACTGAGATCTACAATCCCAGAACAGTCTTGTAAACATGTACCATATTTCTCTTAAAAGAAAAAAAAAATCACGAACTGTACCGTGAAGGAAGAGTTGATCTGCCTAGTCTCAGAAGTTCCTTGGAATAGTAATGTACCAGGAGGGTCCATGAGATGGTGAAGAAATGCCCCAGTTTGACATGGCCCAGTCTGACATTTAAAACCTAAAGCCTCGACCATAAATGCCAAACTCCATCCCGTGTTTGAGAACTGCACGATCTCACATACACTTTATAAATAAGATTTTTATAGACTGACGATTTCTTCCTAGTAATCGAGGAGAACGTTCTCAGTTTAGGGGGAGGAGGAAGAGGTAAAAAGACCCAAAAGATGCTTTTTCTCTCAAGGTTTAAAAATGCTAGTCAAACACTATTATCCAATAACACTTTTTTTTTCATTCTGTTAACTCTTAAATATGCATTCAAAGGCAAAAATGGAGGTTCTATACTGTACAATATTAAATATCTACAATGTCACCAGGGTTCTCCTTACTTTCAGGAGTGTGTTCCGTAAAGAGTAGCTATTGGAGGTGGTTGTCACAAACATCAACTCTTAAAAATTACCCATAAATTAATTTTCAGTTCTCTGATTACATCCAACAGATACACGTTCTCGTCATAAAATATACATTCTCTAGTAAGTTATTTTCAACCACAGCATATATAAATGTGCAGACACAGGTGGTAAAAAGCACAAAACACTAACTGTCGAACAACAGAAATGAGGGTGTAACAGGTGTGAAGAAAAGAGGGAGTCGGGGTGTCCACTCTGCAGTGAAACCTAAGGATTTATTTGTGCTGAATGAATGGAAATCATGTGCCCGGAACCCTCCTCTTTGCACGGTGACCTTGCTCATGCTGGGCAGAGCGAGTGATCACCGAGGCCAACAAGCCGCTCTGCTGGCCACACTTGCTTGTGCCGAGCCCCACGGACTACACCAGGATGCCATCTACACTGCAGACAGTATTTTCTAACAGCATTTTGCACCTTGAAAATATCTGTCTCAGGAGAGCACAAGAGAAGGGAAGGGGTCACCACATGGGCTGTTACAATCACGTGGCCCTGCAGCAGCAATCAAAGAGCGCATTCCAGTCACCATGGAAACCACTGGTGAGAAGGGCATCTGTCCACTCTTCCTGGAGGGGGCCAGCTTAGGTGGATTAGCATTAAGGATAAAGGACAGAATCACATCTCAATATGCAATAATTATCCATGTGGAGAGGACACAGCCCTGTGGTTTATTCGGCTGTTTACAAGAGATGTGCCTGTCGATTCACATGGAAAACGATCTGTAAAAAGTGTATCTATCTGTTTCTGTAGAAAGCTCTACTAAACACTAGACATGTTGTGGGCACTGATTCATCTAACTTCCCATCCTACACTGAGAGTTAGATTTGCAAAGGTCTGGACTGTAGTGCTGAATTCTTGGTATATTTGGTAAACACCACTGTAAATTGGAGACGGGGGTGGGGGTAGTAACAGCTCAGTAATTTTCTGCAAATTCGTGGGGAAAAATTATGAAAGATTTCCCTTCCTATTTTATAAACCTAAAAGCCAAGAAAATGAAGCTTTGGGGCCAGGGTGGGGGGATTGCACACTGATGCTGTTACCAAATACCACATAGCCATGTTCCAGCCAGGGAGCCACAGACACCAAGATTCAAGTAAAACACCGATGGAAAAAGTCGTCTGGTTAGTGTCACAGACCCACAACGCCGGCTGCGTTTCCAACAAACATTTACAACACCACAAGAAGGGAAAGCGTAGACAACCTCAGTGCAAACAAGTCAGGTCCGGAGACGCCAGGGGAGAAGCCTTTGGCGTTGAGAAAGTGGCTCCATCAGACGAGTCCAATGTGAAATTCTGACTAAGCTCATGCATTAAGGCTGGGAGGGAGGGGTGGGCTGCGAGGTGCCTGCCGAGGGCACTGTGGGCTGCATGGGCGGTGGAGGCGGTGGTGGAGGCGGCTGGACTGGGGTCTGTGTGTTGGGAGATGGAGGCGGTGTGGGCCGTTTGAACTTGTCGGGACTGTTGCTTCTCCGTGGTGAAGGCCTCTGTAGGAACAAGAGAAGCAGGTCAGCCTGGGACATGAGTTCAATTCTGACACAGCCCGAATGAGGGGGAGGCTAACGGAACCCAACCAGGGTGAAGACTCCACGGGCTCCTTCTTTAGTCCTAGCGGTTCTGGAACTGGCCAGGATGACTTCAACACGGCGGTGTTCATGCCTATGAACTTATGAAGTCATACAAAACTGCTATAAGACTTCACTACCCTAACTACTGAATGTGGATCCTTTAATGAAACAAGTCTACAAAATAACAAATAATAATTGGGGCTAGAGCACTGGCTCAGCAGTTAAGAGCACTGACTGCTCTTGCAGAGGACCCAGGTTCAATTCCCAGCACCCACTGGCAGCTAACAATTGTCTGTAACTCCAGCTCCAGGGGAATCTGAAGCTCTCTTCTGGCCTCAGTGGGCACTGCATGACACGGGTAATGCACTTACAAACATGCAGGCAATACACTTAAAATGAAAATAAACCAAATATTTAAAAAAATAAACCTCAGATGTCATGACCTCTTAAACGTCATCACTCACCCACTGCTCAGCTTCTTTCTGAGGTTCCGAACACAAAACTCTCTACTTTTACAAAGCCCATCACCTGGCAACAAACTTGCATGAGTCCTTCAAATAATTTCAGAGTAAGAGTCTCTGAACTACTCTCGCCCCAGAAAGACCCTCCATTCAAACTTATTATTCTATTTCATCTATATTCCCAATCAACCACACAGCCAGGTTCCCAGAACAGCTTGCTGGAGTGAAGCTGGAGAAATAGATAAACTGGACCTTCCTTCTAAATCCAGGAGACAAAATTCTGAATAAAACTAGAAACAAGGCCAACTTCAGAAAGATCATCCGGGATCAGGGAGCCGTGAAGGTGTTGGTGGTGGTAAGTGTCTTCAGACAGTACGAAAACCAACTAATTCTTTATGACAGGCCAGAGTTCGATTGTAGATGTTGACCAGACTTCAAATTACATTTCACAGGGGGAAGTTTTCTTTTTTTTTTTTTTTACAGGAAATGAAGTCTTGTCATCCAGGGAGGAAATGTGTTTCAACACTAGAACTTTTTGTTAAGCTACGGGGAACAGTCTGAGGCCAGAAGGTAAATTGACTGGAGGATGGCACAGTCCTCGGCTCCCACAGAACAGCAGGGGCCATGTCCAGAGTGAGGTCTCCCCGACCCGACACTTACTGTAATGCCGTGGGCCGTCCCCATGTGCTGTACATGGAGGCCCGGAGAGTTGTAGTAAGACATTCCGGCTCGAGTCAACGAGGTGGGTGGTGTGAAGCCAACCGTGTGACTTGCATATGACAGACCTGAACAACAAGCAACAGGGTTAGCATCATTTCGAACTCGATTATCTAGCATCTTCAATCACCTAGGAGATTTTACAATAAAGTCTCAGACACACACAAAAACAGATGAGGAGGGGTGGGCTCACTCCGTGGCAGGCAAGGTCATGAGGGATATAAAAAGAAGTCAAACTCGGAAACAGAACAGAAAGCCCAGAAATACACCTAGGTGTATTCCATTAACTTGACACGGCTGCCAAGAGCTGGGGGAAAGAACGGCTCTTCAATTAATGGTCTTGAGAAAAAGGGAAAAAATGCAAAAAAAAAAAAAAAAACCCAAATCAAAACAAAGCTGGACCTTTGCATCATACCACACACAAATACCAAGTCCAAATGCATTAAAGAACTGATACCACAAAACTCCTAGCAGAGAATCCTCCACAGACTGAGATGGCCTACAGAGGGAGATACTAGTCACAAACCACATGCATCTGGTGATATGAGCGTCTACGACCTAGAAAACCCCAACAACTGAGTGCAGGGATGAAAGGCATATAGTACCACACCCGTTTCAAACAGGCATTTCTTAAAGACAGGCATACAAACACTGGCAGGTATGTGCAAAGCATCTTAACCCCAGTAACCACCAGAGAACGGCAAATCAAAGCCACGCTGAGGGACCATCTCATACCCATCAGGATGGGCGTGGAAAATGTCACTGAGATTGTGAATACTCTGGGATAACCAGCATGGAGATGATCCAAAGTTGGAGCTACCAGTCAGTACCCCAACTTCTGGGCATCCAAAGACTGGAAGTCGGGACCACAGAGTTATGTGGATAAAAGCCCAGTGTGGAAACAATCTAGCTGTCAGCAGATGAGCAGACAAAATGTGGCAAGGCAGACAAGAGTGTTAAAGAGGGAAATGCTGCTCTCCATGACCACGGGCCGGAGCCTGGAGAACAGCAACCCAGTGAGACAGTCACAGAGGACAGGTACAGCACGGCCTGCTTACATGTGGAATCTGAAATAGTCAGACGCAGCAGGATGGTGTCTGTCAGCAGCTAGGAAGAAGTGGAGGAAAGGGGGAATCGGTGGAAAACACTGTTCCACAGTTAGCCAGTCTTATCCACTGAAGATTTATACAGGGCAGATCTCATGCCAAGTCTCTTACCCCCCAACACACACATACAGACAAGCTACCAGTTCAACTGAGATGTAAAAAATGGGAAAGAGAACAGATACACCATCAATAATTACCCAGGACCAGTGTGCACGTGTGCGTGTAGCTGACACAACAGTGAGCAAAACTACTGAGAGCTCCACAACCTGCAAGGGTTTGACAGAGGGCACAGAAGCCCTACAGGTGCCAATGTCCTCTGAAAAAAACTAAGACTTAAGGGAAAGCCAACAGCAACACCCCGTAGTCTCCATCTAGGACCCTGAGAAAGTGCTTTAAAACAACAGACTCCAGAGTCGGGGAGATGGCTCAATCAGGAAAGGACATTAGGACCCAAGTTCAATCCGCAGTACTCAAGTAAAAGTAGGACTGTGGTACAACACTTGTCATCCAGCACCGGGGAGACAGAGACCGGAGGATCCCTGGGACTCACTAGCCAGTTGGCCTGGCTGACTGGTGAGCCCCAGACCCATGGACAGCTCTCCCCTGAGGAACGACACGAAGCTGTCCTCTAACCTCCATATGCACACGGACTCACCCCCTAAAAACAGGCAAACACTATATGGGGGGGGCAGGGAAAGATCCTAGATGCTTTATTATTAGATAGATCTGGGATCGGGTCTAATCAACCTTATTTTGCAAGGTTCTAGAAGTCAGTTTTACTTGTGGACAGTCTACGAAGCTCCAGCCTTTGGAGAAGTGACAAAGGCTCTACTGGCTTCTGGCAGAAGCCTGGTCATTACTTAGCACTGCATGGACCCAGCTCTTTAGACCACTGATTCCTAGCATCTACCTGGAAGGCTAGCACAGGGAAGCCTCCTTGGGGCTTAAAGGTACAATGTCCCCATTAATGGATGTGTGTGGACACTTGACCTCCAGCAGATGGCACTGTTTGGGAAGGTTGTGGGAACCTTTAAGAATAAGAGAGCCTCTTCAAAGAAGGTGGGTCCCTAGGGGCAAGCCTTGAGGTTTGTGGTGCAGCCTCACTTCCTGTCTGCCCTTTGCCTATAGGCACAATGTGACCAGCTGCCTCATGCTCTCTGCCACCATGTTTTTCCCTGACACGATGGGCTGAACTGTGAGCCAAAATAAAAGCTTGCCCCTGAGGCTGCTTCTTGTCACGTACTGGTCACAGCGTAACTGAGAGCCAAGCAGGGGAATGAGGCGAGAACACTAACAAACGGACAGCTCGAAGGGGGCTGCGCCTCACCACTCACCCGAGGTTCCTACACTTGGCCAAGCCACGTGAGCTTCCCTGTCGTCCTGGCTCACGTGAAAGCGGGCAGCTGGGAACGTGCTTTTCTGCAGTCTACTGGCCTCCATGAGACACCCCGGCATCCTCTTAGGGACTTGTCTGTGCCCTCAAGAATGCTTAAGGGTGCCTGACAGTTTCTAATGCCAGTTGAGTTTTGACTCACATTTTACCATGAGGCTCTGAGGCAAAGCGCAAGTCTTTAGAACTAAATGGTCATTTGTCATGCCATTTACTGATACCAAAGGCTGAGAAGGGAGAGGCTTTCCTCTAAGGGCTCTTGGGAATAAAACTCAGATTCTATTTCTCAGGGAAGTGACAATGTGATTGGGGGTTCTCACTTAGTGACAGGACAGTTGCTTAGCATGCACAAGGTCTGGGTTCAAGCCCCAGGACACCAAAACAAAAACCCAAGACGTATTTAAAAGAGAATGGCTCCTAAATTCCAGAGAGTTCAAGAGATTCATAAAACAAGAATTCCAGCCCATTTTCTAGTGTAATAATTTTAATTATGTTAAATCAATAACCAAGGATCTTAAAATCATCACTATTCTCTAAAGAGATGCATATATACATACATGCAAACACATATACAGATACACAAATACATACAAGCACGTAACTCACATGCACCCACACATACATACATGCACGCACTTTCTCAC